ATTGGCATGGGGAAGATTCAGTCTCATTCTACCATATACGCTCAAGCGGTAACCCTAGGGGCCATTTTAGCCATTATTTCCTCGGGTCTTCCGGCAGGAGTGCCGATATACATCGGATCGGTCGGCTTAGTTATGGTATTCAATCAGCAAACACCCAGCAATCTCCCTTCGTCGGCTCATTTGACAGGTGCCAATGGAAGACGTCCCGATACTAGAGTCGTTGGTTCGACCTCTGTCAAGAGGACCAAGGAAAGTGTCGAACGGGCCGTTACGAAAGTCATCCAATGGCTAGGTTTGTTCGAAATCAATGGTTTTGAAATGAAGCACCTCTCGCCCGGTATACCTGCTGGTGATTTTGATGAATACGCCGAGAAGAAGCTTGCCGCTATATGAAGTCTGAGGCCTGGCATTAGATAGCTGAGATCTGGTGCTTATTGTTATTTACACCATCAGGTCGGCTGACGCTATCATTGCCGGTCGATTGAAACGAGAAATTTGGGTGAAGAAGAGGTAAGAAAGCACTGAGAAGGATGTGTCGGTAGTGCTCAGAGACGTTGGATATTCTGCACTCGTTCACAAAGCGGTGGTACTGTATATTACTTGCCTCTGGTTCATCACCATAAATCTGTGTATTGATCACGTGTTTTTCGCAAAATTCTTTCTCCTGTAAATTTATCGCGTCCAAGGGCAATCGTCTGAGTCCAATTCCAGAGGTAACGGCCAAGCGTACCTTGACTTTATCTTGTACCGTGACAGAATATGTCAGAACTCAGAAGCAAACCAGAGCTCTCAACAGTACCACTGCCCTGCATCAAATCCACAGTTCTAACCACGCCCCTATCTCATTCTGCTTTTATTACAAACCAGATCTTTTTTGACATGAACGCATTCATATTATCCCGGCCAAGATCGAAAGTCACCTAGATATTTCGCAAATGATCAATAAGGAAGGACCAAAGATTGATAGCGACAATAAACCACGCTTGTAGCCACTGGAGGCAGCGGATAATGTGGCAGCCACAATAAGAGTGTCTTGGGTCGTGCTTACGGCTTCTTCGATTGGGGTTATACTTGACACTGCAAGGAGGATATGCGAACCAATCGTTCGTTCACACTTTGACCGAACTGTCGTTGTATGGAGACTGCAACAGAGGGTCATGAGTAATACTGCCTTGTGCGACTCAAGGGCGGTCCAACTAACGGGAAACTTCCGTTTCCTGACCTGTGTATAAGTCATGGCAATAGCCACGTCACTCATGTCTAGTGCTTATTTACGATGTGTTCATAATATGTGGTATGTGAAAGACTTGCCCCTGCTGAATTCATGGTCTCTGCGTGGGACCTCAAGACCAGGTTATGCCTTCCACTTAACGCTTGTTTATGTCGATTTTTAATGGTTTCTTTAAGAGATGATTTACCTTTTATTCATTTTTAATACCATATTTCACAGATTTAAATCATATAATTTGACCTCCTCCTCTTTGACGTTAAGGAACTTCCGCTCGCCCTTGAAATTAAAGGAAACTTTTCTGAGTTTATCGTAGTGACCTATGAAGATTTCAAAGTCTGAGCGGTTTCGGAATGGCTTTGACACGTGTTTGGCGTCGTTTAGGGTTCTACTGAAGGGTCGGTAATCGCCCCGGAGATGGAACGCTTTCAGCTGCCTCGCCGATAGATGGATGTTCTTCTGTGATAAGATTAATACAACTCGCTTTCAAGTCTGGCAAACACAGCGATAATTTTCACTGACTTCATAATTCATTCGTCGATAACGCTGCCCACCAGAAGCCTGAAGGTTGACTGGCATGCCAATAAACTCGATCTTGGGACATGACCCAATGAGCTTTTGCACTCCGCAGAGATCGAATCGCATGCATGACTGCGGTTGATCTATGACCTCTCGAATATCCAACACCAACAGCCGAAGCGTCTTGCCGTGATTAATGACTTTTTCGAGTAACGAAGAGCGTAGGCGTCGAATAGGTTCGCCAGCTTCATTCGAGCTCGCCGTTACTCCAGTGGGGTTGACCGAACTCATGGCACCACTCTTACCGGNTATCAATAGATCTAACCAAACCGCCCAACTGCAGGTTTGTCGATAGAGTCCTTAGGACTAGCATGGTACTGCAGTCAACGATACCAGATGTGAAACTGAGCTGAAGGGTCTGATATAGAAGTGGCTGGGCGCGTTCACGGTTCAGCCTATTGCATCTGACCAAGCTACTGAGATCGTTGGTGGAAAGATACCTCGCTAGTATCCAATATACCTCGACAGGAAGGGAGTCCATGGTGATGATGAAGTTGAGCTACAAAGGTTACCACGCAGCTTAATATAGTCAAATTCAGAACGTTCGCGTTGCAAAATAGGTCTTCAAGTCTAATTTTACTTGTTAAGAAGATGCATCATGCAACAGTCCGTGTAAGGCTACCTCATGATGATTTCTGAGACGAGGGAAATACAAGAATTAGGTTATGATACATGTCACTTTCGACTAAGCTGTATTGTCTCATGGTCCTTGACTCCGGGCAAAAGCTATCAGGCCTAGACCCTCCAATTCTGCTTCGTTGGTGATAATTCATCTCGGGTTTGTGTCTTGCCGAATTTCCTGATACCTTTTAGTCCGGTTAGCAGCCTACAGCGCTTCGGGTATACCCTTAAACCCTGACAACGTTGTGATAGTACGTGGTGTGGGTGGCTGGATAGCCCGCTGTAGCGCTGAGACAAAACTAGTGCGTTGTTGCAGATGACAAGATGTTTCATACATTTGACTGCTGTAGTGTCAAAAATTGCATTCTACTTGTATGTGACTGAGGTTGATGCTGATACCTTATTGTTAAACTTTTCACTATTTGCTTGTTTCTATTAAAAGTCCATCAGCTCCAAACGTCACCTATCTGACATATAAAGATTCGGCTTCGTTCCAATAAATCATCTCAAGCAAGTTTAGAAAGGACTTCAAGACCTTGTAGCTATGCATATCGACGAACTAAATCTTACGCACCCATGGGGTTCTCATCTTACCCCTGAGAGTACCCCTGTGAGTATCGAGTTTGATGACTTCACCGATTGCGGCATTAATCAAGTGCTTGCATACCAATACGATACCAAAGAGCAACATTTCTCTTTAGATTCGTGCTTCGAGTCCTTTTTTGAAAGTGAACCAGATTTCTCAAGCTCATACGAGCTACCAGACCTATCCCAAAGAGCAGTCTCGCCTTCGATGACCTCACTCGACCGCGCTTTCTCTTCAGAAGTTGCAGGRTATGACTTTTCTACGGCCCACACATTGGCAAGTCCGATTTGGCCTTCCGATGAAGATGAGCACCCCGGAAGCTTTTTCAAGCTTTCGGGTGTGTCTAAGGAAGTTCATAACCCCTCTAACTGGAATCCCGACGACGATTTGGAGTCGCATGGCCTARAACTTTCACRGACTGGCAGAGCTGGGAATGGCACGACAGAAAGGGTACCATGTTTGCAGAAATCACCGAGAAGACCTCGAAGGAGGAACAAAGGCAAACCAGGCATCGAGCCACTTCGGACGCTTCAAAGAAATATTCACAGGTGTGAATTTCCTGGATGTAGTTGGACATTTCGAAGAAATGAACACCTGAAACGTCATATGAAGACGTAAGTGCACCTTACGCCAGGGATACATTGCCCTCTATAAGCTTGGCTTTGCTGAAAACCTTCACATTAGTTTACACAGAGAAGCCCCCGAGTCCTTTTTCTGCGAATTTTGCGGAAAGAATGGGTTTAGTCGTCGTGACAACTTGAGGACCCATCGGAAGTTGCATGCGCGTCAGCCGAGTCGCAACTGTAGAGTTGGGTTCATTCCTGCCGCAGCATTGCTGATTCACCAAGAGATGCACGGCAGGAATTCGAGGGTGAAGCTCTCTAGTGCCTGTAGTAAACTCAGACCCAGGCATAGATAAGACAACAGCATTCTTTAGCACTGCAACATGCTACCATCTCCTTATTGGGTTGATATATATGCCGTCAAGTCTCAGATGTCCATACTTTCCAAACGCCTAACCATGTGCCGAGATGAATTTTAACAGACTATCAAATGCATGCTAAAAATTCCCAACTCCTGTTAGGCTTGTAATAGCCCCTTAATTAATCCTTAAATTACAGGAGTAACTCATAGTGAAATGATATAATAGTCTATTTTCCCAAGTCGCAGCTTCATGTAGGCTTTTCCTGCCACCAAGGTGTTCGTGTGATACCTAGGTGCGACCATGGAGGACTTAGCCTTGGCAAGGCGTACCAAGCATCTCATGCATTTTATTTAGGTAGCAAATAAGCCGGGACTCATGAGACCCGTTTATAAACTGAGCTAAAAACTTGGTATGGTGTTATTTATAGTTGAAAATTGTGGCTGAGAGCTTGAATCAGCACAGAGAACTTAGTGGTAGGTTTGCATCGCGATGATGTTCTCGTGAGACTATTCAACATGCACTTTGATATCAGAGATTATGAGTGGTATGAGTACAATTGCATAGTTATAGATACCCAGCACGGGAATAAAGTCACCTAGTTAAGGAGTTGAATATGGAATATCAGGCTCCACCAACTAATATATTTTGTCGCTTAGTATGGAAGAGTTTCTTGGATCTTACAACCCAGGATGTATATAACAATGACAGCATAAGGTGTATACTATTGCACTTTGGTGCTGCAACCATAGAGCTATTCTTAGACATCTATATTTGCATGGAGTAGAGAAATGTAGAGATACAACTTGTAGATTCCAAGAAGCTGTCCCAATCTGCAACTCTGACACTCGCAACAAAAAGTAGTGCCTATATAAACTTTCAGTATTGCTTAATTCTAAAGCTTGAGTATCCTTCCCTTTCGCCAACGCGGACAGCCGTTGTTGCCCAGCACCATGACTCAAGAACCACAGGACAGAACCCAGTTAACTGGCCTCCTTGGTAGCAAAGGTGTAACTTCGTTGGCCGAGAATGTAGGTCTCAAAAGGTTGCCGAAACAACGCTCCATCCTTGTTGCCACCAGCCCGATCAAGGTAATTTCCCAACTTCAGAAGCATTGATTGTACACTAATCATATAAAAGTCGGGAGAGGTGATCCTTAAAGGAGATATGGGGGATGCACTCGAGTTTCCTCTAGTGAAATCAACACTGGAAACTGGAGCAAAGATATTTCTTCCACCGGAAACTTCCATGCATTGTCATTTTTCGGTTCTGCTGGTATTGCAAATAATGAAACCCAAAAGTGTCTCGCACTGGCAAATTCCTGATAAGAACTACTTTGAAACGTCTTTCCCTATCCTCTGGGATGGAAGGCTACAAGCTTCGCTTCCGGAGGAAGCTAAAATATGGTTGGTCGCGCAGCAAGATCGGCTAGATATGGACTGGGATCACGCCAAGGA